TGAAAAGACGAAAGTGTCTTGTCAAGGCTCTAGATGGAGAAGAGGTTACAGGATTTTAATTAAAAGAAATTTGTTGCATATTGTTGACAAGATGAATTATTTGGGGGTAAATTTTACATGAAATTTTTCTTTCAGTGAGCCTGTTAAAAAGCTAAATGTCAGTCTAAAGCAATTATGATACCATCAATAATGGCAGGTTTGAAAAATTCAAATATATTACTGTTAAAGAAAATTAACTGTTTACTATCCCAGTCAATTTTATTATATGCAACATTGTCATAGGGGTTATTGGAATGACCACGTTTTAATATTAAAATATTAATCTTCAAAAAAATATTTGGTCTTGAAAGTTCTGTGCCTTTTTATGAACTGAGATTGTCAATTAAACTGAAGGACTTGAAGGTTTTAATTCCAAGTCAGAAACTTATTTTCTGGATAAAATATGTCAGCCAGAGAATCTTTGAAATATTATGATTTACAGGATTTAAAAGAATCTAAAGTTATGGCCATAGTCTGAAGTAGATGAAATTATTGGACTATCAATTAAATCAGATATGGTTCTTTTTTCCTATTTAACAACAACAACTTAATCAAATTTTATAAAAGAAAACTTTTTCAATCATTTAAGTTTCTTTTATTGGAAGAAGAAAAATAGAAGTTGGCTGTTTCCAAGTTTTGTAATAGTACCCTTTGATAGTATCAGAAAATGGAAATCTTGAATAATTGAAAATTTACAAGTACTTCTTATTTTTAAAAAATCTTACAGTTGAAACTAAATAAATTTCAATTTAGTTAGAGGAATAATAAATTATTTTTGATTTCCAAGCAAGAATGCATATTATGTAATGGTGGAACTAACTCATTATATCATTTAATCTTCAACTATTGAATTACTGAGAAAATCCAAAAGCAATATGATTTAAGGAAATGGAATAAGGAAGTGGAGATAAAGTTTTGGAAATTATTTTATGATAATCTTTGATTGATATCTTTGTTTTTCAATTATAATATGATTGTAAAAATTACTGCAATTGGTAATTCCTGAAGGTAATTATTATATTAATTATGTTTGCTGACTATGTAATTAATGTTTTGTAGTTTTGTATTTTCCCCATCAAGAGGCTTTGTCCTTGAGAAATAAATAATAATAATAACAATTCTCATGATTAATTTTCTTTACATTTAATATACAATAAGTTTGTTAAGTACAATTATTCTCACCTATTCTTGGAAAATGTTCAGAATAAATCACTCCTACAAGTGGCAGTAAAAATATTAACTCTAAAATAAAGTCTTTCATTGCTTGATTACCTAAAATTGATATAATGAAGTAAAGTTAATAACATAAATTAAAAACATTATAACGATTTAAAATAGTACTCGTTGAAATGAAAAATTATTTATGAAATTTCAACATAGTTTTTGATAAAGCTCATATGATTAGTTTTCTATATAAAACAAGATAAAATAAAAATAAATTCAGATAAAATGATAAAACAGTACATACTCTAACTTAAAATTTTAAGCTATAATTACAAATAACCACCATAACAGTTTGAAGTTCAATGGTTAACAGTTATTCCTGTTCAAATATTGCCAATTCTTTTAACTTTTTCATTTTCATTATACTTTTGTAGTTAGTCACACTGTGCTACATAAAATCATATAAAATAACATTTAAAAAAATACATAACTAAATTATATATTATTCCATATTAATTTTTTATAATAATGATAACATTTTTATTAAAATGATAATTTAAATTAATAGTTTGAATTGTTATTTCTGTGATTTATACCATAAGCAAATAAAAAAAAATTCCATACTTTCGAAATAGTTTTTTTTCACCAAATTTATAAAACCATTACATTCGGTAAAAAAATTAATTTACTAAATAAGCATAATTGATTACACAACCAGTTGAGAATTTACATAAACGAGAGTATGTGTGAGAGAATAAGCTGTTGTCAGCATCTTATTTTCAATGTCCAAAAACTTAAAACAGTAATTAAGTTAATTTTTCAATAATTGACAAAGATTACACGAATCATTTAGAGAAATATTTATAAAATACGAAAGTTAATCGTAAATGCTATCAAGAAGGGGAAGACGGGCATTTTCTTCCGAGTCCAAAGCAATTTCTATCCCTATAAATTAACGACAAAAGATAGTCTTTTAAGATTTTTTTCTTTATTAATAATAAAACATTCCATGTGTTTTATTTATTCAAAAAGATGTAACAAAAAATACTTGCTAAGGAACAAAAGGGGCACCTTCTACCCAAGACCCCATACAAGACCAGAACACATTTAATGTGAATATTTTGATAAAATCTAAGAAAATGAGAAATTTGACATGTTATTGTTAATATTTTTTGTATAGTTCTTGTAGAATATTTAAAACAAAATATGTTCTTTAATAAACACACAATTCATTTATTTTTCATTATATATAATTTTATATATTAATGATGATATGACTTACGTATTTGATGATTTTAATCATCTGGGAAGCTTGAAAGTGATTCAAAATCTAGAGAAAAAAACAAACAAACAAATAAATAAATAAATCTCTTCAGTTATTCCTCCTTATACCAATATTTAATATAAAATTTTAATTGTATAATTTGAAAGTTTTTAATAATTAAATATGATTCTTCTTTCTGTTTTTTTTTTTTTTTTTATATACGACTAACAAGTTTTCTTATCTAGATAGTTATACTTTTACAACTTTTATCGCTAGTAGTCCACATTTTGTCTTTGAGGTTTACATTAAATTATTTGTCCTTTCATGATTTAAAAAGCGAATCGATTTTACAGATTATTCTATTTATACTCCTAATGATTCTAAACAAATCAAATGATAAAACTTAAATTTCTATCAAATAGTTTTTAAATTAAAAGTGTACAATTATAAAATCAACGTGATTAATACTAATAAATTTCTGGTGATATAATATGCCTTGTATAGGAAAAAATAATTCAGATTTATTGAAAATGGAACCATAAAATTAAGTTGTCGACTGAATTTTAATTCAGAATTTTTATAAGAATTATTCAGATCTGTATAAATATAATACTTAAATAATATATTTTATATACATTACTCAAAAAACGAAATTTCTGTACATTTCGACACTTCAAAGAAACCAATTTCATTTAACTTTATCAAAATTTTAAATAAAAAATAAATTATTAATTAAAATTACGTTGTCGTATGCGCTATAAAAAGTTTTGAGACATAATTAGAAATTCGTAAAATCCAATTATGAGAATTATGTATTCATTTAATTAATGAAATATTTTTTTTAAGATTTAGGTTAAAAAGTAAAGTTTAATAAATATTTAATTAATACATGTATAGTGAGTGTACGTTAGAAATTAAATTTGCAAGAAAATGCGACGTGTCATAAATTATGAAAATGAATTTATTACAATTTCGTACTAAATCCTCGCTTAGTATGAATTAAATCAAAAGAAAACAATAATCAAACACGCCTCGCTTATATATTTGTATTGCTAACTTAACAGAAATATTTGTCTCAACGTTAAAACTAAAAATAAAAAAGGGAGGAGAGAACGACAACGAAACAGTGCTGTAAACCAAGATTATTCTCCGAAACAGATGTTAGTTACTAAAAAATTCCTTAATTCCTAACATACGTCGAGTCAGAGTCTCGACTTGTTTTTTGCGTGTCGATCATAATTTAAGTTCAATTATTACGTCGAATAAAAAATTAAACAATTATTGAAAACAACTCTATATAGGAAATTATAAATTAAATTCAATGTTTCCGATAACCGAAATATTATACTGTAGAATGTATGGAGATAAATATATTTTTCATTGACTTTAAAACAAGAGTATATTAAGTTACAACTCTTAAATGACTTAGTCATAAATCACTTCTATCGTAATCACGACGTGAAATCTTAACAAAATGTTTAAGTTTCACTTACTCCATACTTTAGAAAATTAATTAAATATTTCATATTTTCCAGTAACTTTTTTTTTTATGTTACATAAAAAGAAAGTTTGCCACCTTACTCGTAAAATGCTATCGATCTGACACGTTTCAACGAAAACAAATCGGTTCATTAACTACGTTAATCTTTCAGGAATTTTGTTTGAGAGTCCTCGAACGATGATAAAGATAAAATAGTCTATACTTAATTAAATAAATTTATATACAGATGTAATATAAACAGTACTTAATTCATTTTATTACTAATTAATAAAAATCTAAGAATATAGGACTACTGCAGAAAAATACAAATTACTTTTATATAGTATAGAGGCTGCTCGTTTAGTTGGGTTAGTGAACATTTTATTTTAATTTGACATTTTTCTTCAGTTTTACGTTGAGACATTCTAAATTACGACGTCAAACTTGCGTAAAATGCACACTATTTCAACCAATCAAACACACTTATATATTAATAATATTTAAAATCTGAAATATATAACATTTTAAATTACATAACTTTGAGTTCAGACTTCCAAAATCTTCCTATGACCCTGATATTTTTAATAATAATCCGAATATTCTAGTATTCGACTATGGAGACAGTATAAAGTTCGTTTTCCGTGCATTATCAAGGCAGAACATCTCAAAAATTCTTAAAAAATTACGGAATAAAGAATGAGTAATCAAAATATTGAATAAACATTGTATAATATCGATAGTGTAGAATAATATAGTCACAATTATTGCCGTATAATAAAAGCCTATGTCATTCTATAATTAAAAGATGATTAATTATAAAAAAATAAAAGTCTAATTATTTCTTAATCGTTTACTAGAAAAACAACGTTTCGACAGTAAAATATTTAATTAATTAAGTAATTAGCTTTTTATATTAAACTTATAGATATCGATATTAAAAATAAATAAAATTTATATTTATATCAGATCTACTATTAATAATCAAGTCATACTTTATGCATCGACTGTAATATTTGATTTCTATCTACTAATTAATCTTGTTTAAAAGGTGGCCTTAACTATAATATGAACTTCATATAAGATTAATCTGTATACATATCTGTATATAGTACAGTACACACAGAAAGAAATTTATGTAAATCATCGCAGCCCATTTTGTATTGTATGACATTATGGATTTAATAGCTTAGATGTATATACAAGGTATAGATAAACATACTTAAACAGAATAAATCCGAAAATATATTTTGTAAGCTTATTTGTGTTATTTTATAGATTTAATTTATAGATGAATCTCTCACCGTTTGTTCCAAACAAATCAAGCAGCACTCTTTAAAGATACAAAGAGATGAGAAAGAAAGGAAATTACCAAGTTCAAAAGTAGTTTTACAAGAATCGAGTGTGACCTATTTCGAAAGTAGACGTCATTTTTAAAGTTATAGAGAGAAAAATATAAACAACTTACGTCAATCCGTCACTTAAACGAAATCATGTAGAATCTGGAAAGGAGANTTCGAACAAGTGCGAATGATGTTTCCACTCTTTTGCCGTTGCCAATGACAATCTGCTATTTTTAGGATATATTAGTATTATTAGAATGTATTATTAGTATATCTGAAGTAGAAATGTAATGTAATATATGTTGATGATTTAAGTAAACATTAAATGTAATGTAATATATGTTGATAATTTAAATAAACATTAAATGTAATGTAATATGTTGACGATTCAAATAAACGAAATGTAATTGTGTAGATGCTGAGGTGGCGGGACGAAAAGAGGTTGTAAAAAACAAACGGAGCGAGAGTAGCTCGTAGAAGTGTTTAGTGATCTTAATTAATAAAGAATTATTCGTATCATATAATTTGGCAAGTTAAGTCATTTATAATGCATTATGGCTTCTAAAAAAAAACAAAGGTGATTTCAATTGAAACAAAGCAAGAAATCATCAAGAGTGAAAGCTGACAAAAACTTTCTTGTCGAATGGGGAGAGGTTCAGGAGTTTACCAACACTCATTATCCAAACAGAGCTGTGGCCAACAGGATCAATGATCTCTACGATGACACCTCTGTCCGTCATTTCCGACAGGTGTTAAAGAAGAAAGAGAAACAGACCACCTTGATCATGTTTTCAAGAAGCCAGCGGGCAAAAAACAAAGGATGGAACAAGAGAAGTTGACCCTGCAAGTTCCGGTAGCCTCTCCTGAATCTGACTCCGATTAAAAAACAATAAAAAAAGACCCGCTGCAATGTGTAAAAAATATGAATCTGTATGAATGTGTAAAGAAAGTGTTCTTCCACCTCCTCCTCACAACATCTGACTACCTGGCATAATTGGTGTCTGCTCCATTTTCATTTTTTATGGTACAGTACGGTTATTTTATGCTGCGGAACGAATTATATGTTTTAACATGTATTTCTATGGGAAAATGCGTTTCGTATAACGGACGTGCACCAGGAACGGATTAAGTACGTTGTACGAGGCACCACTGTA